TGCTTTTTCTGACATACACCTGGTTCCCATTATCTATATTTACTTTTTTGTTCAATCTTAATATAAACGTAGTTTCAGAATTGCAAATTTAGTGTATACAGTTCTTTTTGCCCCATAGCCTTATAGTATCTGTTCAAAACGCTATTTTCCAGTTACTTAAGTCAGTCCCTTTCTTACCCACCTCTTTGAATAGGGTTATGTCATATATTTATAATACAGTTAGACTCATCACAACCTGCATTCCATATTGTAATCCCCCCAGTATCTTGGTTGATTCTGTTTTAATGTGCATTCAGGGTCACTCTTTATAGTGCACAGTCTGGGTTTTGACAAATGTGAACTCATGGATCTACCACCACAGTGGCCTAGAGAACAGTTTCAGCACCCAAAGTTTGTGTAACCCCTTCACGGTCAACCCCTTTCCTCATCTCAGCCATTGGTAACCACTGATCTGTTTTCTATCCTTTAGTTTTACCTTTTCCAGAACTTAAAAATGGAGGCATATAATATACATTTGCGCTTCCCCTGACGTTTAAAGAAAAACATATATATGTAGCCTTTTGAACTGACTTTTTCACATAGGAAAGTGCATTTAAAGTTCATCTATGTTGTGTGAATCAGAGTTCATTTTTCCTTATTTGTGAGTGGCATCCCATTGACAGATGTATCACAGTTTATCCATTCCTCTGTTGTAGGCATCTGGGTTGTTTCAAGTTTTTGGTGATTATGAATAACGCTGCTTCAAATAAATATTCATACACAGGTTTTGTTTTCAGTTTATTTGGTGAAATACCTAGGAGTAGGATTACTGGGTCATAAGGTAAGTCTATGTTTAACTCTAAAAAACTTTTCCAAAGGGGCTTTATTTTTTGCATTTCCACCTTCAGTGCATGACTGTCACTCTGCATCCTTATCAGCATTTGGTATTGTCAACTTTTTAATTTAAGCCACACTAATAGGTGTGTAGTGATATATCATTGTGGTATTAATTTGCATTACTCTAATGTTTAATAACATGGAGCATCTTTTCATATATTTTTCAGAGTATATCTCTGAGAAGTATATACAAAATCTTATTTTTAAAACAATCGTTTTTCTTATTTTGAGAATTACAAGATTTATTCTGGATACAAGTTCCTCATAAAATATGTGATTTGCAAATATTTTCTCTCAGTCTGTATTTTATCTTTTCATCATTTTAAGAAAGAACTTTGTCATATTTTCTTCTACAAGTTTTATTGTTTTACATTTTACATTTAGCTCTATGATCCATTTTGAGTCAGTTTTTGTACAAGACATGAGGATGTTAAAAGTTTTTTTTTTTGGTGTGTTTGAATATCCAGTTTTTCTAGCACTATTTGTTGAAGATTATCCTTTCTCTGTTGAAATGCCTTTGTACCTCTATCCAAACACAGTTGACTATTTGTATGGGTCTCTATTGTTCCATTAAACTATATCTTTCCTTTTGCCCATATCATCCTGTGTTGATTAATGTACCTTTTGAATAAGTCTTGAAATCAAGTAATGTGAATCCTCCAACATTGTTCTTCTTTTTAAAATTGACTGTTTTAGTTCCTTTGCTTTTTCCATATAAATTTTCGAATCAGTTTGTCAATGTCTACAAAAAAGCTTATTGAGACTTTGATCGGGGTTGTATTGAACCTATAGATCAAATTGGGGAAACTTTATCAATATCTTAACAACAGTGGGCCTTCGAATCCATAAACACAGTACAGTCATGCCTTGGTATCCATGGTGGATTGGCTCCAGGACCCTCTGCAGGTACCAAAATCTGAAGATGCTCAAGTCTCTTATATAAAATCGTATATTTGCATTTAACCTATACATATCCTCCCTTATACAGGCACACCTCATTTTATTGCACCTGATTTATTGTGCTTCACAGATAATGCGTTTTTTACAAATTGAAGGTTTGTAGCAACCTGTGTCAAGCAAATCTATCTGTGCCATTTTCCCAACAGGGTGTGTCTCTCTGTTAACGTTTTGCTAGTTCTCACAATATTTCAAATGTTTTCATTGCTTTATCTACTGTGGTGATCTGTGATCAGTGATCTTTAATGTTACTTTTATAATTGCTTTGGGGTGCCACAAACTGCACCCATATAAGACGGTGAACTTAATTGATAAATCTGTGTGTTCTGACTGCTCCTCTCACTGGCCCCCGTCTCTCTCCTTCTCAAGCCTCCCTATTCCCTGAGACAACAATATTGAAATTAAGCCAATTAAGAACATTATTGATGGCCTCTAAGTGTTCAAGTGAAAGGAAGAGTGGCAAGTCTCTCACTTTAAGAGCCAGAAATGATTAAGAGCTTGGTGTGAGCATGGTGGCTCACACCTGTAATCCCAGCACTTTGGGAGGCTGAGGCAGGCGGATCATCTGAGGTCAGGAGTTCGAGACCAGCTTGACCCACATGGAAAAACCCCATCTCTACTAAAAATACAAAAAAAAAACACAAAAAAAACAGCCGGGCATTAGTGGCAAACTCCTGTGGTCCCAGCTACTTGGGAGGCTGAGGCAGAATTGCTTGAGCCTGGGAGGCAGAGGTTGTGATGAGCCAAGATTGCACCATTGCACTCCAGCCTGGGCAACAAGGGTGAAACTCCGTCTCAAAAAAATAAGTAAAAAGAGCTTAGTGAGGAAGCCATGTCAAAAGCTGGCATAGGCCAAATGCTAGACCTCTTGCGCCAAATGCTTAGCCAAGTTGTGAATGCAAAGGAAAAGTTCTTAAAAGTGCTACTACAGTGAACACATAAATAAGAGAGTCTTACTACTGATACGGAGAAAGTTTGAGTTTTCTGGATAAAAGATCAAACCAGCTACAATATTCCCTTAACCCAAAGCCTTATCCAGAGCAAAGCCCTAACTGTCTTCAATTTTATAAAGGTTGAGAGAGGTAAGGAAGCTACAGCAGAAAACTGTGAAGCTCGCAGACATTGGTTAACGAAGTGTGAGGAAAGAAGCTGTCTTCAAAAAAGTGTCAGGTGAAGAAGCACGTGCTTGTGTAGAACCTGCAGCAAATCACCCAGATCTGCCTAAGATCACCGATGAAGGTGGCTACACTACAGATTTTCAATGCACAGGAAACAGCCTTTTTTTGGAAGAAGATGCCATCTAGCACTTTGAGAGCTAGAGAGAAGTCAATGCCTGGCTTCAAAGTTTTAAAGGCTGGACGACTTGTTACAGGCTAATAATGCAGCTGGGGACTTCATGTTGGAGGAAGGAACTGCAGATGTGGTGGAAATAAGAGAGAGGGAGAATTAGATGTGAAGCCTGGCTGGGTACAGTGGCTCACGCCTGTAATCCTAGCATTGGGAGGCCAAGGTGGGCAGATCACTTGAGGTCAGGATTTCGAGACCAATCTGGCCAACATGGTGAACACTGTCTCTACCAAAAAATACAAAAATTAGCCAGGTGTGGTACACATCTATAGTCCCAGCTACTCAGGAGGCTGTGGTGGGAGAATTGCTTGAACCCCAGAGGCGGAGGTTGCAGTGAGCCAAGATCACACCACTGTACTCCAGCCTGAGTGACAGTGAGATCCTGTCTCAAATAATAAAAAAAAAGCCTGATGTGACAACTGTGGCAATCTCAAGATCTTGAATGGATGAGAATTTGCTTCTCATGGATGAGCAAGGAAATTATTTCTTGAGATGAGATGAAATTACTCCTGGTGAAGATGTTGTGAGTACTGTTGAAATAAAGAATTTAGAATATGACATAAACTTAGGTGATAAAGCAGCAGCAGGGTTGAAGAGGATTAACCCTAATTTTGAAAGTAGTTCTACAAGTAAAATACTATCAAACAGCATTGCATGCTAGAGAAATCTTTTGTGAAATGAAGAGTCAATCAATACAGCAAACTTAACTGTTGTCTTAAAAATTGCCACAGCCACCCCAATCTTCAGCAACCACCCCGCTACCCTAATCAGTCAGCAGCCATCAACACCGAGGCAAGACCTACCAGCAGAAAGATGACAACTCGCTGAAGGCTCAGAGAATCGAAGTATTTTAAAATTAAGGTATAGACATTGGGTAGACATGATGCTATTGCATACTTACTAGACAACAGTATAAACATAACTTTTACGTGAACTGGAAAATGTGTAGCTCACTCTATTGTGATACTCACTTTAATGCAGTGGTCTGGAACCAAACCTGCAGTTATCTCTGAGGTATGCCAGTACTTTAAATCATCGTGATTATTTATAATACCTAATACAATATAAATGCTATGTAAATCAATGTTATACTGTTATTTTAAAATTTTTATTATTTTTACTTTTTAAAATTTTTTCTTTTCCCAAATATTTTCTGTTTGGGGTTGAACCTATGAATGCAGAAGCCACAGAAGGCCAATTGTATACCTCTCCATTTAATTTGATATAGTCTGCTTCCTCAGCATACAGGCCTCCATATATTGGATTTATACCTAAGTATTCCTTTAATTTTTTTTTTGGTGCTATTCATAAATGGTATTTTTAAGTTTTAAATTCCAACTGTTTATTGCTGGTATATAGGAATATAATTTTCCTTGTGTATATCGAACTTGTTTCTTGCAACCTTTCTATGACTGACTTATAGTTCTAGGAGTTTTTGTGCGTCCATTGGTACATTCTGTAAGATAATATTACATGTGAGTAGAGCCAGTTTTATTTCTTTCTTCCCAGTGTGTATGCTTTTTCTCTTTTTTGTCTTACTGTACTAGCTAGGAACCCAGTTACTGTCCCAACATTAACTGTGATATTAGCTATGGGCTTTTTTATAGACGACTTTTATTATTTTGCTTGTATATTTTAAGTTCACCCTTCTTCCTTATAAACCTTCCATAAACCCTCATCATTTCTCACTCGGGTTGTTGTAATACCTCTTTCCTGTATTAAAATGCTAACTCCCATTTATTTCACTTCTATGTATATTATAAATTTTATCTGCCTACTTCCCACCCTCAAAACAAAACAAAACAAAACAAAAAACTGCATGTGTTTATAACAGGTTTTAATTTGTAAAACAGATTCCTTACTAAATTATAAATACCATTTTATTTCAATTTTTTACAGATATTCTGGTTCTTGATCATCTTAATTATCAAGAGTCATATACAGGGAATAAATGGTGATGTTCACTATGATTCAAGCTACTACTGTCCCATAGCCAGTAGAGCTTTTTGTAATGTCCAGAAAGAATACTTTCAATCTTTATGAACAGCCTAGGATTTTGCAGTTGTTTTTGAAGGCTGGAATTCCCCCGCTTCAAATTTTTCTTTGAATTTTAAGTAATCTCTTCTTTTATCAAAATATTTAATCTGTTGAAAAAGAAAAAGGATTGGAAATAAGGGCAAGTTATGCAGCTTAGATAAGCAAAAGCACAGACTGCAATGTAACACATTATTCAACATAAATGTAAGTGACTTAAAGATAGAACCATTTCAAATTGAGGCATTTGAGGAGTAAGTCCCTGAGGAGAGTGTGTCCCAGTGAATCCTAATCCTTTTTGAGTTACAGATCATGTTGAGAATTTGAATAACTCAGGAACCTTTTCAAGAAATGGACCCATGTACACACAGGTGAGGCTTGCTGGCAAGTTCAGAGTCCACAGAGCTCTCGGGTAGATCAAAAGGTTTCAGATGTGAACATACTGGACCATTTTTCTTTCTTTTTTTTTTTTTTTTTTTTTTTGGGCAGAGTCTCGCTCTGTCACCCGGACTGGAGTTCAGTGGCGTGATCTCACTCACTGCAACCCCCACCTCACAGGTTCAAGCTATTCTCCAGCCTCAGCCTCCCAAGTAGCTGCAATTATAGGCGCCTGCCAACACAACCGGCTAATTTTTTTGTATTTTTAGTAGATATGGGGTTTTGCCGCATTGGCCAGACTGGTCTTGAACTCCTGACCTTAAGTGATCCACCCACCTCGGCCTCCCAAAGTGCTGGAATTACAGGTGTAAGCTACCATGCCCAGCCTGGACCATTTTTCTTATCAACTCTTAAATTCACCTTCATTGTCAGACTAGAAAACACTAGTTCTTTTGTTAAAAGCCTTTCTTAGGACTTAATTATTAAAATATTTCAGTGGTGCTTGAAAGTAAAAATTAGCTTGGACTGCGAATGTAAAAATCTGCCCTGCCCTGTATCAATGAAGCTGGGATACACATAAAGCCAGGTGAAAGCAGTCATGTCTCCCAAGGGCATACTACAGCCGTGAAGTATGCTAGTAGACCCTTTATTTGAGTGATTATTGCTTTCTTACTCACTAAGAAATCTTGTTCTTTAAAATCATCAACTATGAGAAATTTGCTGTCTGAAGTCTTATCTGTAAGAAGGAAACATCCCACTTTTGTCTAGAGGCTCTAAGGCACCCTGACACAGAAGCAGCCTTGATCTCCAGCCCAGCTTCAGGATGTCAAATAACATTTCTCAACATGAACATGACACTCAATCTTTTAACTTCAAAGATATGGAAAACCCTACGTCCACTTTTCAATCCAGAGCTGATGATGACACCTATGGTTGTCAAAAAACCCTTCAAAAAAAATGAATAAATCCAGGAGCTGGTTTTTTGAAAAGTTCAACAAAGTAGACCACTAGCCAGATTAATAAAAAAGAAAAGAGAATAATCAAATAGATGCAATAAAAAATGATAAAGGGGATTATCACCACAGATTCCACAGAAATACAAACCACCATTAGAGATTACTATAAACAACTCTATGCACATAAACCAGTAAACCTGGAAGAAATTGATAAATTCCTGGACACTTGCATCCTCCCAAGCCTAAACCAGGAAGAAGTCAAAACCCTGAATAGACCAATAACAAGGGCTGAAGTTGAGGCAGCAATTAATAGCCTACCAACCAAAAAAATCCCAGGTCCAGCTGGGTTCATAGCCGAATTCTACCAGACATATAAAGAGGAGCTGGTACCAGTCCTTTGAAACTATTCCAAACAGTACAAAAAGAGGGAATCCTTCCCAAATCATTTTATGAAACCAACATCATCCTGATACCAAAAGCTGGCAGAGACTCAAGAAGAAAAGAAAACTTCAGGCCAATATCCGTGATGAACATAGATGCAAAAATCTTCAATAAAATACTGGCAAACTGATTGCAACAGCACATCAAAAAGCTTATCCACCATGATCAAGTAGGTTTCATCCCAGGGATGCAAGGCTGGTTCAACATACCCAAGTCTATAAACGTAATTCACCACATAAACAGAACCAAAGACAAAAATCACATGATTATCTCAATAGATGCAGAGAAGGCCTTTGACAAAATTCAACAGCCCTTTATGCTAAAAACTCTCAATAAACTAGGTATTGACAGAACAAATCTCAAAATAATAAAAGCTATTTACGAAAAACCCACAGCCAATATCATACTGAATGGGCAAAAACTGGAAGCATTCCCTTTGAAATCTGGCACTAGACCTCTCACCACTCCTATGCAATATAGTATTGGAAGTTCTATCCAGAGCAATCAGGCAAGAAAAAGAAAGGGTATTCAATTAGGAAAGGAGGAAGTCAAATTGTCTCTATTTGTAGATGACATGATTGTATATTTAGAAGACCCTATTGTCTCAGCCCCAAATCCCCTGAAACTGATAAGCAATTTCAGCAAAGTCTCAGGATACAAAATCAATGTGCAAAAAATCACAAGCATTCTTATACACCAATAACAGACTTAAAGAGAGCCAAATCAAGAGCGAACTGCCATTCACAATTGCTACAAAGAGAATAAAATATCTAGGAATACAACTAACAAAGAATGTAAAGGACCTCTTCAAGGAGAACTACAAACCACTGCTCAATGAAGTAAGGGAGGACACAAACAGATGGAGAAATATTCCATGCTCATGGTTAGGAAGAATCAATACAGTGAAAATGGCCATACTGCCCAAAGTAATTTATAGATTCGACGCTATCCTCATCAAGCTACCAATGGCCTTCTTCACAGAACTGGAAAAAACAACCTTAAACTTCATATGGAACCAAAAGAGAGCCCACATAGCCAAGTCAATTCTAAGCAAAAAGAACAAAGCTGGAGGCATCACACTACCTGACTTCAAACTATACTGCAAGGCTACAGTAATCAAATCAGCATGGTACCAGTACCAAAACAGAGATATAGACCAATGGGAATACAACAGAGGCCTTGGAGGCAATGCCACACATCTACAACCATCTGATCTTTGACAAACCTCACAAAAACAAGCAACGAGGAAAGGATTCCCTGTTTAATAAATGGTGTTGGGAAAACTGGCTAGCCATGTGCAGAAAGCAGAAACTGGACCCCTTCCTGACACCTTAAACTAAAATTAACTCCAGATGGATTAAAGACTTAAACATAAGACCTAACACCATAAAAACCCTAGAAGAAAATCTAGGCAAAACCATTCAGGACATAGGCACAGGCAAGGACTTCGTGACTAAAAAAACACCAAAAGCATTGGCAACAAAAGCCAAAATAGACAAATAGGACCTAATTAAACTCCAGAGCTTCTGCACAGCAAAAGAAACAATCATTAGAGTGAATTGGCAAACAACAGAATGGGAAAAAATTTTTGCAATCTATCCATCTGACAAAGGGCTAATATCCAGAATCTACAAAGAACTAAAACAGATTTACAAAAAAAAAAAGCCCATTCAAAAGTGGGCGAAGGATATGAACAACACTTTACAAAAGAAGACATATATGAGGCCAACAAATATATGAAAAAAATGCTCATCATCACTGGTCATTAGAGAAATGAAAATCAAAACTACATTGAGATATCATCTCACGCCAGTCAGAATGGCGATCATTAAAAAATCTGGAGACAACAGATGCTGGGGAGTATGTGGAGAAATAGGAACACTTTTACACTGTGGAAGACAGTGTGGCAATTCCTCATGGACCTAGAAATAAAAATTCCATTTGACCCAGCAATCCCATTACTGGGTATATTTCCTAAGGATTATAGATTGTTCTATTATAAGGACACATGCACATGAATGTTCACTGCAGCACTGTTTACAATAGCAAAGACTTGGAACCAACCCAAATGCCCATCAGCGATAGACTGGACAGGGAAAATGTGGCACATATACACCATAGAATACTATGCAGCCATAAAAAACGATGAGTTCGTGTCCTTTGTAGGGACATGGATGAACCTGGAAACCATCATTCTCAGCAAACTGACACAAGAACAGAAAATCAAACACCACTTGTTCTCACTCATAGGCAGGTATTGAACAATGAGAACACATGGACACAAGGAGGAGAACATCACATACTGGAGTTTGTTGGGGAGGGACTAGGGGAGGGACAGTGCGGGGTGGGAAGTTGGGGAGGGATAACATGGGGAGAAATGCCAGATATAGGTGATGGGGAGGAAGGCAGCAAACCACATTGCCAGGTATGTACCTATGCAACATCTTGCATGTTCTTCACATGTACCCCAGAACCTAAAACACAATAATATATATATATATGTATATACATATATACATACATATATATATATATATATATATATTTTTTTTTTTTTTTAAACACTTCATTTAAATTTTACCTAAACTCCATTCTTCTCCCTAAACTTCTAATAACTCTCTTTTCCTGTGTTGGTGAGATACCGACAGTTCCTCTTGTGTGTGGTCTTCCTGGTTACAAGCATTCATAAATCAGTTTGCAGATTCATCCCTGGCAGTCTCAGGCTGATTGGGCTAGAACAGATGTTTTATAAAGGATACCAAAGAAAGAAGTGGACAATGTCCTTAACATTTTTTGACAAATTAATAAATGTTTGCATCTTCTGTCACATCACCAACTGCCTAAGACAACTCCATTTAGAGGTCCTACTGACATTTCAGTCCCAACTTGTCCAGAACTTGGCTTCTCTCCAAACGTGTTTCTTCTTTAATACCTGTTTCAATGAACACATCGCATCCACCTAGACACTTAGATCTCTCTTCCCCTCTTCACTGCCATGGCACAAACCCTCACCATTCCTCACCTGGGTGGTTGTAATAGCTCGTTCACTGGCTTCTCTATTTCCAGGCTGAAACATTCTTAATCCACCTGTTCCATGCTGCCAGAGTATAATCTTTCTAAATCCCAAATTTAATAAGGTCATTTGTTTGTTTAAATATTTTTCAAGGTATCCATATTGCCTTTAAGGTTTATAAGACAAACAAGGCCACTGATGGCTCCATCCCTGCCCATCTGTCCATCTTCTCTGAATTTACCAGCAGTCCTGGAACTGTTTGCCTACAGAGCTACCCCATGCTTATTTCCTGTGCGTCTTGATTCCATGCCTTTGCATATTA